GGGTTGTTTGACATAATGGTTACCAATATGACATCCATCACTGGCGCCCGCGCAAATGGAGGACACTACGGTCATCTGCGCTCTGAATCTGTGCCTTGCCTGAAAGGAATCGCTCTTCCCGGGCGCAGCCTTAGCAGATCGCTAAATGGCGCTGGTCTCGAAAAAGGAATACCATTTTAGCGATCACGACATTAAATAACCCCATTACACAAGTTTTTATCGATTTTGGCGAGAACTGGTGCGGCGTCAAATCGGCGCTTAATGCCCAAAAATAGCGTCAGCGTCAGGAACTAATGTCTACTCATAATGAGGACATCGAGTAATCCGTATAGGCAAAGGTTCAGCAAAATTTTTTTCCGAAATTTTTTGGGAGTAATAGTTGAGTAGTACTCATGTTTTTTTCCGGGAATATCCGGTAATACGGTAACGTCACCGATACTTGGCACGCTGTTGACCGTCGCGGCAGCGCGCCACCCAGCTGTCACTCACTCAGCCTTCAGCTCTGTATTGGGAGCTGAAACAGGTGACAGTAGGTTCATGCTCGCCTTCCCTCTTTTCAGTAGCGAGAACGTCCGCTCCAATTAATAGCCATTTACGAGGTGCTTGGGGACAGCCGGGAATATTGATTCTTCACCTTCTTGTTCTCTGCTTTGCTCTCACTCCCTGAGCATGAGGTTTCTTGATTCACTGCTGCCACATCTTACCACAATTGTTCCTGTGAATTCTCACGAGTGTTCACTATAGTAGGCCTAGAACAATGTGTTGCGCTTTTCGGGATGAGAGAATCTTCCGTTGTGTCCTTTGGAAGATGAGAAACCCGCACTCGCAAAAAGTTCCGCATTGGGCTGCGTTCATACTTTGCGTAGCAGCGTCCACCACCAGTTACCAGGGAACTCCACCAACTTACCATGGAACTTAAATGGAGACCTGGGTAGATCGATAGAGTCTATAAGGTTATTTACAAATATAGATAGCAAAACTGCAACCTGCATTTCACAAGCAACTTATGAGCAGGTAAAGTTTGTAATGGTGCAGTAGGGTGGAGGCTTGGTGGTGAGCTGTGAAGCATAAGCGAGGAATCGCATACGTCGAATCGGTGGTTCAGTGGTAAGGTTCGACGTTCGACGACTCGATTCGACGTATGCGATTCCTCGCTTATGCTTCACAGCTCACCACCAAGCCTCCACCCTACTGCACCATTACAAACTTTACCTGCTCATAAGTTGCTTGTGAAATGCAGGTTGCAGTTTTGCTATCTATATTTGTAAATAACCTTATAGACTCTATCAATCTACCCAGGTCTCCATCCAAAGTTCCATGGTAAGTTGGCAGGCTTCCCTGGTTAGAGGCTACGCCAGCGACAAGAAAGTATAGAACAGAGCACATCGTTTGTCGGGGACTTGTCGAATGCGTACTACCCCCTCACTTTTTTTGGAGGGGGGAGGGGGGTAGTACGTACGACCCCCCTCCGGACCTTTTTCCCTCCTCAGTCGAGCAGGAGAGGGGAGATGGGTAAATAGCACATGTGAGACAAAAAACGCTGCGAGAAAATACTACCTCCTCGCTTTCTTCGCAAACTTCCTTTTCCCTAAAAATTTTACTATCGAGCGGGGGGTATATGCATGAAGCAGGAAAATCACGAAAAGTCAACCACCACTCCACCTTTTCTAGAAAGGCCAGAAAGTAAATACGACCCCTCCCCTCCCAACAATGAGCAAGTACGACCCCCCCCCCTTTTTTTTACAACGTCCATGAAGCGAGAAAAATCAACTATCAAAATAAATTTTTCTCAGCCTAAATACGACCCCCCTCTCCTGGCGACCAAGTATGCCCCTATTGGGGATCCCCAACAACGATGTGCCCTGGTATAGAAATCGATCTTGTGAATGCCAGCGTTTAGCGTTTTCGCGGGCACATTTGAAATTGAGCAAAACTTCCCGTCAAAATGCTGCTGGACGATGATGGACGCTGGCGTTCGCTAGATCGATATCCATACTCTCCTAGTCGCTGATGGAGCTGTTGGACGCTGACGCGAAGGATGAACGCTTATTTTTGGGGTCGAGACCGCTATGCGAGCTACATGAACGTGTTTTGGTGCCTACCCACTTAATCCCGCCCTATCGCTTGCGAAAAACCTTTTGCGGAACTAATGTGTGAAGTGATGCATTTTTCTAGAAGGATGAAAAATCGCTGGAAAGTCATTGCGTTAGGGATAGCGCAGTTCATTGGGTTAGCGCAGTGCTCCGAGAGTCTATCGCGTTTTGAGCGAAATGAGGTATTATTCAGAATTTAGAGCGTACACCAGTGTTTTAGCGATACTATACTTTCTTAGTCGCTCAAAACGCTGTAGAGTATGAACGCTTAGTTTTGATATTATGATAAGCTGCTGCTTTACGCCGTAGTTCACGTTCCGAAAGTTACCGTAAGAATGCCGAGTTTTTTTCATATTCAACATGTATTCATTTCCTTTTATAAGTTTGTTTTGTGGCCACAACGACATTTATGGAGTTACTCGTATTCCCGCCCGCTCGTGTTTCAATTTTTCATAATGCACTTCAAATAATTTTTGCTATAGCATTTTAGGAACCATAGTTTATGGACCAGCGTTCAACCGAACAGCTGTCACAAGATACTGGTACCAATACAAGCGCTGTCCCATTTGGTCCGGTACTGAAGATTGATCAAATGAAAACTGAAACTGTTGCCAAGGTGGACGCTTCTTCTACGTCAGCGGCTACGGCGGGACAATATGATGACCGCAGGTAAACTGGTTATACTTAATATTTTGTTCGTCACTGCCATAGCAGTGCTAGATACATATTGAGCTTTTTTTCAGACTCTTGATTGATAGCTATTTCCTCAGCTGTATAATTTGCCATACGTTATGACATCCTTTAAAAACTCTGATCTCATGACACTGCAATACAGCCTCGAGGTAGATAGGATACATAAAGATTCCCATTCAATATATTTACAGAAGCATCTGGCATGAAACTGTTAAACAACGAACGAGGGATTAGAATCTAATGAAAATGTCGAAAATTCCGTAAATTTTCGTCCGGGGACACCAGAAGGTTATCGAATGCCCTGCTAGGCTGCGTCATACTTTGAGTCAGCGTACGGCAGTATTTTGAGCACCAGTGTGTAGCGACTGGGAAAGTATAGATATCGATCTGCCGTATAACAGCGTTTTCGCGGGGAGTTTTCCTTCAGCTAATTGCTCGCGAAAACGCTGGCACACGCTGAACGCTATGGTTCGATGGATCGACATCTATGCCTTTCTAGTAACTGGCGCGGCGTACGCTGACGCAAAGTGAACGCAGCCTTACAGAACGGTTGTTTCCGTCCCCCTTCTCGGCTAATCAACAGAACAGAGTTCTATATCTCAGGCTTCCTATTTTCGCCTAAACTTCATATAGTGTAGTTCGCTGCGGACGGTTGGGCGTGTCAGGCGGGATGAGTTTGGCGCGGTGCCAAACCCGTTCACCAGTTGTTAAAGCGAGCAAAGTGATATGACTGTATCATATCGTTCGTATTACTCGTTTTCTACCACTTTTTGTCGCATGCGCGCTTCAACAAGAAGGCAGAGAACGGCTTTGACGGGGTGACACACTCATACTGCCTGACACGCCCAACCGTCCGCAGCGAACTAGAGTATACTTCGATCCACGCCAGGGTCGAGAACAATTTGCACGAAATACCCCAAAGCCATCATAAACCTTGCATGGCCGTTTTCACACCAGAAATAATGCGGGAACTTACTGCTGAACGCGAGTTGTCACCTTCCAATAGACACGACTTTGTCCAGACGTAACATAGAGCGGAAACCCTCATGGTTTTGAAAATCAGAGGCTTTTTTCTATTAAGCACAGCATTCCTGGTGGGTACAATATAGCGAGAACTAGCCCGTCGCTGGTTATACTCCCAAAGTTTGCTTTAGCTGCACTGCAGAGATGGTCCCCAATGATACAGCCCACATTTCCATCCAGAAACCCCGCAACTCACTACATCTCTTATGATAAGTAGAAACTTAAGCTTGAAAACACTGAACTTTTCTATGGAGTGAGCCACCAGGGCGCATCTTGCCGCTGAGGAGAACTGGGAAAAGTGGCAAAGTACAACTCCCCCCTCCCCCCGATTTCCTCCCCTACTGCGACCCCCTCCCCCTTCCCATGCTTCCTATCATCTTCCTGAATTTCCCCAACTTCCCACCTTTTTCCCCGAGAAATTTTGCAGGTTTCCCCGGAGTTTCGCTTTCGCCTACGGAGGGAGGGGGGCGGGGGTTGCGAATTGTGAAATGGAAAAAGAAAAGTCAGCAATTGGAAATTTTCCAACACTTTTCTCTCAAAGGCGACCTCTCCTCCACACTGAAACTGTGGTCGCCAGCAAAGCAGGAAAATCAGGAAAACTACGGACTAATTGCGACCCTCCAGCGACCAGGCACGACCCCTCCCCATTCCTCCCTCGCTGGGGATTACCCAGCGTGCGACCTACCGTGTGCGCCACACACTCGTCTTCCATTCAATATCGCAGGGACGTAGAAATACGGAAAAAACCCTATTATGGAACAAACATCCCTCCGGAGCAGCTATTAGTTTCCATATTAGAAAAACACGATATGTTACTATGTTGTAGTTTCATTGGAAGTGAATTAATTCGGCATGAATTTTCAACTCGACGGAAATAGCACGCTCCACGGCGAGGCACAAAAGCAAGGGCAGTGTTTTACTAACCACTGTTGCCACTGCTCCGTTCATAATCAACCTCCGCACATACGACCCCTATCACCAGGCTGCATGCGACCCCTGTGTCGCGGATCCCGCGATACACTTGATCCTGCCTGCACCGCAAGTACGACATGACCTTCTCTTAGGAACCCACCGCACTCGCAGACGCGAACTCGCAGACGCGAAGGTCGCAGTCGGTACATCGCTGTCCCTGACTGCGCTCAATTACAGCAACACTGAACAGACTTTTAATAAACACTCGCATGCTAGTTCATGTTCCATTCAGAAGTGGTATTTCTTCATATCAACTTTATGGGAAGAATACGTCGCAGGAGTGAAAGTGAGTGTTTGGGAAGGAGTGGTATTGAGCGAACTCCTGGCCGACAATGGCGGACATCCTGGATCTTGAAACACTGGGGACCATTCTTCCATTCGTCATTCATAGGTTCTGAAGTGTGTGCACATCCAACATCAGCATGCTGTCGTAGCATTTATAAGAAAATGTCAGAATCCCCTATGGGAATCACAAATCGAACTTGCGCTGTTCCAGGTAGTGAGGGTCGAAGTAGTTCGCCGACTGTTGAGCTCCTTCTCCAAACAGGTAGAAAGGGCCTTGGGAGGAATCTTCAGTCCCTGTTACCCTTATTTCTCCGTTCCGTCGCCTATCTTCCCGTATAAGAAACGAAAATATTTGTCGTACTTTCAAATGCCTTAAGTGGTTTTGATCAATACCCCCCCCCCATATTTCAGTAGCGTCGCTATTTCTGCTTTATGCATGAATGCACACCTTTCGTAGTTCTCTGAGATACCGTACCCTGAAGTGCTGCAAACATGTGAAAAGTTTTAAATTTGAAGCAAACATAAGAAGTAAGGTAAAGATTTGAACTGTTTTCGTACAGAATAGTACCATGCACGAACATAACTGAAATCTGCATAACTCTTAGCGCCTATAATTTTTGGCGCTAGCGTATCTGGAGAAGCCACTCGGTGACACCAGTCCGCAGAAACTCTAGTCGTCTGCACTCTACCAAACCTGGGGGAAGAAATTGAACACTACCTCGGTGAAATGAAGAGCGAAGATGAAGCGTTGCCGTGTTAGCCCCACTGTAAACCCGTGGGCCGCTCTAGTTACGTTAACGCCTGATTTTCAAGTTTTTTTTAGTTAATTTTTCGATCATACTTCGTCTTTTTCAGGATTTATGTCAGCAATATTCCATTCAGCTACAGAAGTCATGATCTTGTACAAATGTTCTCTCCGTGAGTCCACATTTTCTTTGATGTGATTTACCTAAGTCATTTATAAAATATTGTGGTTGACAGGCGGATGTCACTATGCGAAGTCGTGCACTTTTTGGCCTGGCATGGATTCAAAGGGTTACGGGGCGTTTGTCAACCAGACGTGCTCTCGCTGCGAGGGTCCAGGGTATTTTCACGAGGCATCTACCAGTCCAGTAGTTGAAGGGAGAAGGTAAAGGAGGAGGGATCAGAGAAGGAAGGAAGGAAAAGAAGGAAGGAGGAAGAAAAAGGAAAGAGAGGAGAGGCTTCCCGGTTGACAAGTGCCCTGGAACGGGATTCAAAGTATCCGATAAGATACAGAGGCGACAAAATACTTCGCGGAGGGAAGAGCAATAGCAGTGGTGACGCTTGAATAGGGCATCGCTCTCGCAAATGTACGCGACGTCGCGTGCTGGCCTCTCACTACGCACCTCCTTATTGAGAGGCAAATAATCCTCTGATTTCCGAATGTTTGCGGGGATTTTTTTTGTTCGATTTCTCTTTATGCAGGATTTTATTTACTCGGGTTGAGACAAAATGAAATTTGCAGCTTTGGAGTTGTATCGAATGCGGAAATTGTGATGAATGAACGTGGATCAAAAGGATTTGGCTTTGTAACACTTGATACCAAAGAAGGATGTGATGCTGCACGCGCCGCCCTTCACGGAACTGTAGTTCAAGGCCGAGTTATCGAGGTATTGACTAGCAAGCTTTCCATGTGGTGCCCAGCGTATCGAAGTTGAACCAAACATGTCACTCATTTCAAGGATAAAATGTGCGCTCACCTCCAGACGGTCCTTTTCATGAGCGAAAAGAGTTGGTCCACAGCTGCAGTATCCCGCCACTTTCTTCGCTCAAAAGTGCACGGGACCGGCCTGGAATGCAGTGATACCCGAGCGCCTTTTCCGATTGCGCTCGCGCTGCCGTCAAGTGCAGGACTTGCGTTAATACCAAGTCCACGGCGAAGCCACTTTAGAGAAAAACCGGAACTGAGAAGGGTGCAGACAAGTAGCGCGTTTGGCTATAATTTGGAAAAAGGCCGTACGGCTGCTCGAGGTGTGGCGACGCCCTCGAGTGTCACAACCCTCCAGCTCGCTCCCGTGCACGTTAGTGGAGAAAATGGCACGATACTGCCGCTGCCGACAATTCACCTCACACATGTCAAGGATCAAGGTCCAAAAAAGTGAGTGTACGGGTAGTCTTTGATTTTTCGTGCTTTCCTGCTCCTGCAGTAATTTCCATTGATGAATGAAAATTCGACCTGCGACCATCCTCAATTTCGTCCTCTGCTACGGCTTCCCCCCCCCCTTTCCCATGCTTTGTGTCTTGACAACTTTCCTGAGCTCCAAACTTCCTACCACATTTTCCGAAATGTCACAAAAAAATTCTCGTCGGGCGGGGGGGTATATAAACCACTGAAACTGGGAAAACCGCGAAAGGTCAACTACCGAAAAAAAAACTCTAGCAAATACCGCCTGATGGATTTTTTCCTGATTTTTGCAACATGTGAATAGCACCCGAAAGGAAAAAACAACAACCAAAAAAATTGCCCTGGCCAAATGCTACCCTCTTCTTCCAGTGAAAAAATACGACCCCTACTGGGGATTCCCCAACGTAGGACGTGCCCTGATGCTACTTCATAACTCGCAGTTGGAACCAAAGTCCTGCGTAGAAGCATGTGTACTGCCTCTGTCTTGCTTAAAAAGGGTCCATTGAAAAATAAATCAGACGAAGATTGGCCAGTGTTACAGTGCAGCCGCAGGATTAATTCAATATGTGGATAGCTAAGTCCTGTGCGATTGCAATCGTAAGACCTCCACGTCATTTGTCCGCTTTTAGCATGATTCTTCAGTTCCATAGTTTTGTGTTGTTCTAGGCGGAATGACACGTTTTTTCACGGATTGAAATTCCTGCAACTTTTTTCAGGTCAAAAAGGCAACTACAGCACCATATCGCCGAAACGCAGCCCGCGGACACCAGGCTGCTGTGCATCAGCAGGGCACCATTCCGCTGAGAGCAGATTTTCTCGCAGCACAGCTGCCACAACTTCAGGCTCAGTCTTTACTTACTCCAAGTGTTTCCGATTCGCTCAATGCTATTATTCTTGCGCAGTATCAATCACGACTCCAAAGTGAGTTATTGCATTGAAGATTGACCACTTTTTGGTGTGTTCTTTTATGATTTGTCAAGTTCTTTTTCAGGTCTTATCAATCCTTATGCGGTCAGAGATCCCTCGTTGCTGTTTCATAGATCTTTGCCACAACTACAACAACAGGCAGCTCTTATGAGCGGTGGAATTCCAATATCTCCCCTATCAATGTCATCAATTCCTATGCAATTACTGTGTGCTTCACGAGGAACTGAAAATTTGCCTCCTAATGCGTATACTGCCACAATGATGCCACTGACTACCCCTGGTATCACCTACGCTTCTCTTCCGGGTGTCAATCCCAATAATATTATGATTCCATCTACGATACAGTGTCGATTACCTCAAGATGCTGCGAACGGAGCACTTTCTAACTGTGAGTGATTAGCATTTGTGCCTTGAGTTTTACGAAATTTAAACTTTTAAGTCACTTGTAGTTAGGCTTCTCTTCAACTTCTCATCATACCTTCACATCCACTCATTTTCGACACTTGTACTATTTGTCCTTTCTTGGAATATTTGACTTTTTTTACGCTGCTCCTCGAAATTCGACTGAGTCGCTACAGCCCTTGTTCGAGAGTAATCTTTTCTTGGAACTCGGTCCTCTTCAAATATGACTACCCCAAAGACTCAGAAAAAAAAGTTCTGCTGAAACTTAGCCTATTGCCTACTCAGCCGGGTTGTCCGATTTTCTGTCACTAGTGTGAAACTCGTTTTTGGCGCAGGCGCCATTTGGCGGCAACAATTTTCGTACCGAAATCGGCGTAAACTTGAATAATGGCTTTATTCGGTGCCCTGATCACGAATATGGCATTCTTTTCTCGATTTAGCGGTCTACTAGGGTAAGGCTGAACTGGAGGAGGAGTGATTCCCTTCAGTCCAGGCTCGACCTTAACAGAGCGTGGATGATTGTAGCCTCCTCCACTAGCGTCGGCGCCGAGAATGAATGTCATGCTCATTATCAGGCTGTCGAATAACCCTCTGTAGCGAGCGTCAGGCGATTTCGGGCCAAGCGGATCTGATACACATGTGCATAGAGGTCGAACTACTCCTGAAAACAAATTTTCAGCCAAATACGCCTTCGTACAAAGAAGTCGGTGAAACTGGCCCAGTTCCGAAACTGGAGTAGTAATAGCGCCGAAATTGTTGTCGCTAGGGCAACTAGATTCCTCGAACACAAATATCACGTGCACTCGGCTCGCCCCGTCTGTCGTCCGTGTCCCAGACGCCGACCAACTACCTAAGGCTTCGCATTTGCTGAGAACTCGTCCTTGAATGTTGTTCGGCCCTAGTTATTTTGACCCTACGAATGTCTTTTTCGCTTCACAAACAAATCCTTGTGCAGGCGCCACACGGGTGCCGGTAATATTAGTTGTCGAGGGTCAGGCTTCCAGTGGGATCAAAGATGTGGTCAAATCCACTTGGGGCAAAGTCTCGACCAAAATGGGGATTAAATTTCGACGAGTGGAGTCGTAGAGGGTCAGTAGTGCCCCTTTTTACGTCAACCTTTCACTGAAGCGATCTTTTTGATCTCGACCCCGTGTTATTTTATTTTGAGCTGTTGGGAAAACTGAAATGCTAAGGCTCTTGATACAGTGAAAGTCGCCTTACCGTATTTGTGTTACATTCATGGTTCGCTGTTCTCATAATTACGACTATGTAGCACTGAGTATGCACGAGGACGTTTTGAGTAGCAAACCTCTTTTCCCCCTGTCAAATTTACCTCTGATTCACTGTAGCGGCGCTAAGGTCCTTAGGCTGCGTTCATGCCTTGCGACAGCGTCCACCAGAGACCACCAGCGTTTCGAGCGTTACTCAGCGCCAGTGACTAGTAAGGTATAGATATCGATCTGGCGAATGCCAGTGTCCACCAGCGTCCAAGATGGAGAGTATGGGGAAATGTGAGGGTAGCAGACTGTTGGTAGAGTAGGGTAAGTAGGAGGGTGCAGAAGGGTACAGACAGCTGGATTACGCGTCTTGAAACTACGGTGTGAAACCCCACCGTACTTCTGCAGAATGCCTTACATTAAATTGCAATAATTCTGTGCCTCAGCAGTAGTACGGTGATATTGCACACGCCGCAATTCCACGAGGCCTCATCGAGCAGTTAGCCACCCTCTAACTTCTCCACGCTCTACTCCTGGACGCTGGTGGACGCTGCCGCAAAGTATGAGCGCGGCCCTACGGGTTCCAATGTTCTTTCATATGCAAGGCTTGTTAATCCTTCTAGACTCATACCCTTCTCTCCTTTCTCTTCTTCTTTTGCTGAATCGATTCACAAGTGTTACAATAATGATCGCGACTGTTTACAGTTATGAGTGAATCGGGATTTTTCAAATCACCAGCTCAAGTCAATCCATACACAGGATGTATTGATTTGACTGGATCGCTTGGCTTAATGGCAGGAGTTGCCCCGTCATTCCAACCTGTAAGAAATTCGTTTGAAACAAGGTTTAGATTTTGAATTTATCGTTTAACAAGCATTCAGACTGCGAATTCTATGAAAGATAAGTATCGCGCAAGTGGTCTTCGTGCTTTTGATCAGTCTTGTGTGATTGACACTTCTTTTCATGGGGAACCATTGAAAGAGGGTCAGTTTGGGCCCATAGGCAGAGCTGTGCCAGCAGGTATGTTGTGAGCAAGATCTATTTTTCTTATTTTTTTATCGTGAATTCGTCCCAACGCGAGAATCTCAACTGTGGTCAGTTGCTATTTCAGTGAAAAGCTTACATTCTCCCAAAGTTTTCAGTAAGATATAGCAAACGAAACACGGACATAAGTGCGCAAACGTAGCACAATGATTGAGGATTTTCTAACATTATTTGTTGTCTGTAGTGAAAAATCGCAGGCATGTCTCAGTACACGCCGCAATAGAGTGTGGTCACACTTCGCATCAGCGTTTTGAGCGTACACCAACGTCTTGAGCGATTAGGAAAGTATGGGTGCCGAAGTACCGTCCCTGCTACCCTTATGTTTCCTCATTTCCTCTAAAACAATCATTTCCAGTCGCTGAAGACGCCGGAATACGCTCAACTCGCTGCATCAATGTCTATACTTTCCTTCCCTCGATACGCGCTCAGTATGAAAGCACTCTCACTGCTCGTTCGCAGCAGACGGGTTGGTGCGCTATTTTATGTGAACTCATGTTTGCGCAATTAGCTTATAAGCGAGTTAAACTCAATAAGGAGTTAAAGAAAAGGGGTTGCATAAATACATATTGACCAATATTCTCACAATCTTGTGTAGCGGGTGGTGCTGGAAACTTGACTTTACAACTTACTTGTTATAAGAGCACGAGCATCATTTTCGGCACTCCAAGGGAGGCTTGCACTCAGTGGTTTGCATTTCGAATGCACACAAATAGCAACTTACAGTTTACCAACTGGGAGCACTGCTCGCTAAGGTTGTGCTCATACTTTGCGGCAACGTGCATCAGCACCAGCGACTAGGAATAGATAGCGATCTAGCAACCGACAGCGTCCATCAGAGTCCACCAGACTAGGAAAATGTGGATATCGATCGAGCGTTCGCCAGCTTCTGATAGCGTCCATCAGAGCGTATGCCAGCGTCCAGGAGTGGAGAGTATGGGGAAATGGAGGTAAGCAGACCCTGGATTAGGCGTCGTGAAATTGTGGCGTGTGCAACCGCACCGTACAACTACTAAAGCACAGAATTATGCCATCAATGTGCGATATTGTGTAGTAATACGGTGGTGTTGCACAGGCCATAATTTTGTGATGCCTAATCCAGCAGTCTGCTTCTACAGTCCTCATCATTACGGACTGTCGGGGCGGCACAGCCGCGCTGCACTGTGACGCGACAGCGGCTGCGGCTCGGTGACGGTGAATCAGCTGATTTCGATGGAATTCGGCTGCAAATTCCCACTTTTTCAGCTCTTCAAGCTTCTAAAGTGGAAGGTGAGTTATTCTGAACAATTTTGAATTGTACTGGCTCTGATTTCCTTTATTTTTATGTCGATTATTATGCTCTTTTCCTTGTATTTTGCCTTATTTCAGGCATTTATTCAAATGGCTTACATTCTTTCAGATTCATTCAGAGTCAGTACAATTTAAAATTGTTCAAAATAACTCACCTTCCACTTTCGAAGCTTGAAGAGTTGAAAAAGTGGGAATTCGCAGCCGAATTCCATGGAAATCAGCTGATTCGCCGTCACCGAGCCGCAGCCGCTGTCGCGTCACATTGCAGCGCGGCTGTGCCGCCCCGACAGTACGTAATGATGAGGACTGTACCCTATATTCTACCAGCTGTCTGCTACCCTCATACTTCCTCATTCTCTCCACTCCTGGATGCTACTGGACGCTGCTGCAAAGTATAAACGCAGCGAAAAAAGGACAGGGAGCAAATGACTGATGCGGTGGAGCGCAAATTTCGATATAGAAAAAAATATCTATATTATCCGTTTCTGGATTCCAGTTATTCATAAGATTAGAAAGAAAGTCGTCCGAAGCTGGTGCTTTTTTCTTCTTGTTTAACGCTAGTGACAGGTCTTGTCCATGGATTATAGCTGCATGGTTTCGCACTACAATCAGATTTCTTCTGCAAACGCTTGTGAATGCACGCTTGCTACCAACTCTATAAGCATGTTTTCGTCTTATCTTTATTACACGTATATAGGAGGCAACAGCAACCAAGTGAATTCGACGAGCAACGATTTTCGTGCTCAAACGTCGATGGCTCCGGAAGAGACTGCTTACGAATACAATGCTGGTCAAAGTGGTGGAAACAATTCCAGTGCGTTACCAGTCTACCATCCCTTTGAGCCTTCCACTGACCGAAATGGTCGCAAACGCTTGAGCAGTATTGATAGCTATCACTTGAGCAAGAAGCAAGCGAAGTCGACTTTATAGTGTTTTGACGCATTTGTTTGTTATGTTTTTAGTTGTCGTGCCTTGTGGAAACACAATGGTCGATATTCTCACCTGCATTAATTCTGCATGCTACCTTCATATCAGATCGCATGTCATAGCTTTGGTTTCTTAACATAGCTTGCGCATTGAAAGTTGTGGTGCACTCGTTCCCCACTTAACGGTTTATGATCTCGAATATGACTTCACAATTCATTTTCATGAAGATATTTGAGTTTCTTATATCATCATGCTATTCATAAGTTGTCTATTTTTGATATCATCCGCATGCCTAATTTCGTTGTGAGTTGTATATTTGTAACGATAAATACCTGTTGTGACAGATTGATTAGATGTAACTTTCCTGCTTGTAGGGAGTTCATTAATGATGAATTGTAACAACTTCTTTTCTATTCGTTTTCATTTTTTCACAGCTCTGTAAACGATGATATGGAAAATGATGATGGGTGATAATCAGTGGTGTTTTGCGAGGGGTGCAATTTCTGAGCAACCAATGGTTTCATTTCTAAGAGACATATGAAAGTACCAGAAATTTCTTATTGCAAAATACTCCAAAGATTCAAAAAAGTTCAAGAGTTTTTTGCAGGAAATATTTTTCTTTTTTCATTTCTTCTTCTAATATTTCTGCTTAGCACCTTGCTCAGCGATCTGAAATACTTCAATAAACTGCTTCCAGTTGACCTGGCCTGACTCCGGGTGTGTTACTACCTACCCTTGCTTCTCCTCGAAGTGTTGACTAAGTGACCTAACCGCTACTATCGGTAGGTAGTACACACCAGCGGAGGCAGAATCCAGGTCAACTGGAGGCAGCTATCTGCAGTATTGCAGATCGCTAAGCACCGAAATTTCCGAGGAAGAAACAAAAATCAAAAAAAATTGCTACAAACTTTTGGATTCTTTTGGATCTTTGGAGTATTTCGCAGTAAAAAATTTTTGGTGTCTGTTTATGTCTCTTACATTCAGATTCCATTGAGGCTCCGGGACAGCACAATACTAGGTTTCATTTTTGAATAACAATGGTACGCGAGGAACATTTCGCTTTTAATTGAATGGAACAAGCTGCGAGGAAACTAGGTTCCTTCCTAAACGCTGAGATTCTGCCCATTTTCTGGTTCGTCGTTTGCACGTCCGCACTTCGTCGCAGTTTCCGGCTCACGACGGTTGCATGCACATGCATTAACTAAATAATGGTAACATACGGGAGCACAGCACTCAGTTTGTCCACATTGTTCTTGTGCATGCCTTCGAAACAAGTGAAAGTCTCATTCAGTGGATTTCCTACGATTTCTTCTGCTTTCTGCATGGCTGATGGTTGGATAAGCTATTTCTTTTCCATGTTCAAAAGCTTTTAGTCTTGTTCATAGCGGATGAAGGAGTGTGTCAGGTGGGATGGGTTGAATAGGCTAAACCCATTCTAAGCCAGTTGGTGCAGCTGGTAAGCGACAAAAATTGGTGGAGAACGACTGATACGAACGATATGATCAGTTTTGTCGCTTGCCCGCTTCAACAGGTTGTGGAAATTGGGTGTGGCGCCGCGCCAAACTCATCCCGCTTGACACGCCCTTCAGCCGCAGCGAATAGGGCTTCAGGCTGGAGAGTGGGATGGGCTTTCAATATGTAGGAAAAATACAGTCGAAATGCTTCACACGGGATAGTCATTGTAGTATCGCTCATGGAAGAGCTTCCTCCTAGCATTATTGCCCAACATTTGTTTAGACGGGAGCTTTATAACGGTCCTGATAGCACGCATCGACTGCGGACAGGCAGCAGCGATCACTTCTATTTCCAGGCTGTATTGTCATCCATTCTAGGTCTTGGAAGTCTACCGACGGAAATTACGTCAGTGCACAGCTGACTTGCTGTATCGTCAGGTTTTCGTCTAAGCAGCGCCTACCAACGGCGGGGTTGGCAGTCGGCTGGACCTTGTCCTTTGCAGGGCAACTTCACTGCAGAATTGGTGGAGTCGTGTGTATCCCAGGTTTCACCGCAGCCTTGTAATCTCCATGATGCCTTGAGACAACCGCACACTCACCCCGTGTGGACGATCTTTACCATGGCGGGGTGAAAGGGTCCACTTCGCAGTAGCGTGCGCCTAGCGCTCAAATGCGCACGAGAACAGAGGGGAGTGATAACCGGGTGATGTTTCCCTACTCCGCACACGCTATCTTTATTGTGCAACACTTGCGTCGATATCAAGATCCCACTGCGAAACACGCACTCAGCGGTAAAGAACCAGAAGTGAGACGGCGCACGCGACAAGCAGCACCTTTGGCTATGCTTAGGCGTGCGGCTCGCTCTACAGCAAAGCGGGCGGAGTACGGAGACCAGCTGGGTAAACATTTCCACACAGCCCCGTTGAAGTGCACTCTTGGAAAGAAGAAGGCACGCCACCGCAGCTGCGGGCCCATTCAAATGCCAACGATAATGATCCACGGAGGTGGGTGTGCAGTTTGCCTTCAATCTCTTGCTTCCTCGGCCGTCATCTGCATCGTCTGGGCTCTGTATAAGGTGACTGTTGTTACTGGTCTCACAACCAATGTATATATCTTGAACTTAAGGCGTATAGAGACTTTCTCATCGTGGAGAACACCAGTAACAGTATTCCATTTGTTCCATGCAGAGTCAGTTTTTGGAGTTTGTCAGTCCTGGTAACTGCGTTCGCGGAAAGAGTAGATTAGTTTCACGGTAGCTTCTATATTTCTGTGGGAAGTGTTCCTTCAACAACGACCGACGAATGAGTTGCGGTGCTACACACTTGCTGCTTTGTTGGCAGTACGCCTGAATCAGTGGTCGGCCAGATCTCTCTTCCAAGTCGTTTCCTTTTCTTTTTGAAACGCTCCCTCATCACTATGATCGTCAGCAATACGCCTCTCTCTTGGAAGATGGCTTTTTCCGAATGTTCCTCGTCGCTTAGTCCATACATAGAATGAAAAACAACGGCGAAAGGGCAGAAAAGCTAATTTGGTTGCGTGACTACTTGAACGTTTCTGCATCGTTCAGTTGTGAGAACTTGTGATGCAGGCAGATAGAGAACAAAGGCTGAGCATCGAAAAACGCAAAAAAAAAACATGTTGCTAGCCAGGGGGTGGACTCCTTCAAAGGGTGTAGACTCCGAGGGACTGACCCTTTTATCATGAGTAAAAAGCTGGTGGTCACAAAGGTGATAGAATGCCATGCAGTCGGGAAATCGCAGAGAAAAACAGAGGTTGACGCGATCAAAGGGATTCAGTTCAAATCCGTAGACCGTTCATACTTCGCAATATTCAGCTGCTCGACTAGAGCAGCCAGCTCACGCGCTGAAAAATGGTAAGTTTCGCGATTGAAATACAAGTGACAAAATGGTATATAACATAAAAGTGAAGAACAAAGAAGAAAAAAAAACACGTTGGAGGTACCTTATATAGAGCGCATTCCGAACCGCGCTTGCACGTGCTTAAAGCGAAGAAAGGACGTGATCAGGCGAAATCTGACCTCTTGGTGTCAGCACCTGCTTGTCACCTCACTGTGACCATTTACAGTGGAGAGAGCTAGTAGCGGAACAACTGCGCCACCAGGAAATTTAGAAATGGAAATTGGGCGTTGTCGTGGCAAGTGGGCTGGGCTGTACCTACACCAGAAGCGGGTTTTGCTTCCGTAACAGATTTCTGCAAAAGGGATGCAAAAGTAGTACATCCATGCTTGCGGGACTAAGAATTATCCGAACACTAGGAAATCCGCTTATGTTCGAAAGTTCCGTCCATCTATCGAGTCCTTCGAGCAAAGCTGGGGTGGGAAACGTTTTTTCACCGTGATCACGCTAATAAGTGATTAGCTGCCCTTATCAGTTCGGCCAAATGCTGGCATGCTATTGGCACCCGGAAAAGTGATCGTATGAAAAATTTTTCGAATTGCTTGTAGCTTAGCCAACGTCGATGTGAACGGCAACTACGTACGACCTGCAAGCCTCTTGAACCGGACATAGTGTGCTAGTCCGGTACGCGACAGGACCCAACCGGAGCGTTGCTGCACTGTCGAGGGGATTCCAAATCAACGAGACGACAGGTGATTTTAGGCCGCTTAAGTTTGCGGAGTATTGTTAAAGTCATGAGAGCCATTTCAGAAAACGGCGCTACATAAGGACACTCAGAATCGCGGAAGTTCTGCAAATTACGGATTCTCTTGGAGACCTTGGATGTGTTAAGATGAAGTTTTCAAAGATCTCAATAAATAGATACTCTGATATGTTTTCGTGTACGTAGAAAAACGCAATGCAGAACCAAGACAAAGATCTGCAAAAAAATGAAAGATCACCTACACAAAGTTAATTGATATCTAGAGCTTTTGCTTGGTCCTGTGGCCAAACCATGTAACGCAGATACATAGAGGACAGCGCCAAAGCATTGAAATGTGCACAATCGAGGTGCGAATCAGGATATGACTTTTTCGTGGGGAGGAGATAGCGGGTGGTGAAAAGCTGGAAAGTATGAGGTCGCGATGACCACAGAATTATGCGCACGAGAGTGCAGAGAAGAACAGAAGATGGGCGCAATCAAAGGGGTTGAGTTCGAATTGTCTGTAGACCGCTACAAAGGTTAGCTACGAGAATGTGAGTCATCAACGTGTCATAAAGTAACCAGCGATCGCGTATGGGCACGGCAGCGCGGGAACAGCTAGTATTCCTAGTTTGGCGTCAAGTGAATTAGGTCATTGCGGCTTCGGCACATCATTAGTTGGGAATTTCGGTGGAATTCTTATGATCCTCCCCCTAGGAAGTGGCTTATACGACCCGCCCCAGTTCCCTCCTCTTCAGCTTTTCCGGAGTTTCCCGAAAATTTGCTTAGTTTCTCGAAAAATTTGTTGTCGAGGAGGAAGGTATATATAGTACGTACGAAATGAAAAAACCACGGAAAGTCAAGCTCTCTCAGATCAATAGCGTCTCTCGGATTGCCAGAAGGCAAATACGACCCTTTATAGCTTCCCTGAATCCAGAAGAAATCACTATCAAAAAAATCTCTGTCAAATCAAATACGACCTCCTTGTCTTCGAAATGAGGCCGCAAATCAGAAGAGATGGGACGTTTGCTGCAGTCAGGGTACATATGTAATTGCCGGGGAATCCTCAACCATGATGTGCCCTGATTGCAGCCCACGTCTCATGTCTTCTGATTTACGGCCTCATCCGAAAAATCCGATGCTCGATACATTGCTCTCCTCGGCACTATTTACCCTTTGCTACCCCAATCCCCTTCACTGCTCCAATCATCCGGAAGCGAGTCAGTTTTTAACCGACTTTTTTCCCGTGGACAGACTTGGCCCAGACATTGTATCCTGAAGTAGTTTGACCTTCTGAACGATCACATCCGCTTGGCTCGAAACCTGGCGCCCGCGCCACAGGCGCCAATGATTTGGGGTATTTTGGCGCCGGTGCCTGTGGCGCGGCGCCAGGAGGTTTCGGGCCGAGCGGATGTGATATTCGTGTTCAGGAGGTCAAACTACCTCTGGAAACAAGTTTTCAGCGAATTTGGTGATTTAGGGTATTTTGGCGCCGGCGCCTGTGGCGCGGGCGCCAGTAGGTTTCGTGCCGAGCGGATGTGATATTCATGTTCAGGAGGTCAAAGTTACCTCAGGAGACAAATTTTCAGCCAATTCTGCTCACGGAGAAAAAGTCGGCCAAAACTGGCCGAGATTTCGGATGATTGGGGCAGTAAAGAGTAAACAGTGCCCTCTCCTCTGTTTCAAGTTTTGAGAATCACTGAATGCCATTCCGTAACTAAAATCGTTGGGGTGACCTCACCGTGATCGCAAAAGGTTTTGCGGAGGTCGCTCATCAAATTCGAGATCTTGGCGGTGACTCACATAAATGGTACTAGACCATGTCGAGTAAACTAATTAGGAGTGCTGGTTTCTGCACGATTCTGTGCGAAATACTGTTGAATGATGCGTCGGAGTGTATCCTGGACACTTGACTTGGCCTTGTTCACAGTAGATTGGCTTTGCAGTCGTTTATTGAGGACTGCTCGATCGAGGTGGTTAGTGGTAGAATGCTACAAAAATGGGCGTCCCTCTAACATCAGGCGGGGTCGGCGCCTGGTCTATCTAATCTGCTCACCAAGGGTCATAAATACATTGCTAGGGGCCTAAGTCACATTCACATAATATCCTCATTGTGTCTAGATGACACTTATAATTGATGAAGGTTCTGGAGGCATTCCAGAACAGGCCTAACAC